TGCTGATGCTGATGCTGATGCTGATGATGATGCCGATGCAGATGATGATGTTGGTGGCGATGCTGATGATGATGGTGATGATGCTGATGCTGATGCTGACGTTGCTGATGATGCTGATGCTGATGATGCTGATGCTGCTGATGATGGTGACGATGATGCTGCAGATGATGATGATGCTGATGATGATGATGATGATGATGAGGCTGCTGATGATGATTCTGATGACGATGAAGATGAAGATGAAGATGATTATATGATGATGATGATGATGATGATGATGATGATGATGATGATGATGATGATGATGACGATGCTACTGATGCTGATGATGCTGAGGATGATGATGCTGAGGCTGTTGATGATGATGATGAAGATGGCGATGATAATGAGGATGATGCTGATGCTGACGATGTTGCTGATGGTGATGCTGATGCTGATGCTGCTGAATTGTTATTGGTGATGGTGCTGATGATGATGATGATGATGATGATGATGATGATGATGATGATGATGATGGTGGTGGTGGTGGTGGTGGGGGTGGTGGTGGTGGCGACGATTGTGACGAGGTGTATGAGACGGGTATTTTTTTACTGGTGGCGATGGCGATTTAATGACAATGATAATTGTGATGTTGCTGATGAGGCTGATGATGACGACGATGCTGATGATGTGGTAAACCAGGATGATGATCATGACGATGGTGATCATGATGACGATGATGATGATGATGCTGATTATGATGATGATGATGCTGATGATGACGATGATGATGATGATGCTGATGATGACGATGATGATGGTGCTCCTGATAATTCTGCTGCTGCTGGTGATGATGATGAGGGAACCAATGCTGATTCTGACGCTGATGATTAGGGCACTGACGATGATTATGATGATGCTGATGATGGTGAGGATTATGATGATGGTGATGCTGATGCTGTTGATGATGGTGATGATGGTGGTGATGATGATTCTGATGATTCTGATGATGATGCTGATGACGCTGACGTTCCTCATGTTTGTGCAGATGATGAGGATGTTGCTGCTGCTGAGGATGATGGCAATGTCGATGATGATTTCGATGAGGATGATGATGATGACGATGATGATGATGCTGCTGCTGCTGCTCATGCTCATGCTGATGATGATTCTGATAGTGATGATGGTGATGATGATGCTGATGCTAATGCTGATGACGATGATGCGGCTGCTGATGATGCTGATGATGATGAAGATGAAGATGCCGATGATCCTGATGATGATGGTGATGATTTATGCTGATGATAATTGTCATGCTGGTTATGATGATGATGGCGAGGAGGATGAGCATTCTGTTGTTGATGATGCTGCTGATGATGATGATGATGATGCGCCTGCTGATGATGCTAATGATGCTGCTGCTGATCATGATGATGCTGATGATGCTGCTGATTATTATTATGATGATGATGATGTTGATGATGCTGATGATGATGGCGAGGATGACGATGATGCTGCTGATGATAATTGTAATGACGATGATGCTGCTGATTATGATGATCATGTCGATGATGATGATGACGAGGATGATGATGCTGCTGATGATGATGATCATCATGATGATGCTGCTGATGCTGAGGCTGATGCTGATGATGATGCTTATGCTGATGATGATGATCATAATGCTGGTGATGGTGATGATGCTTATTATGCTGCTGCTGCTGATGATGATGATGATGATGATGATGATGGGGATGATGATGATGATGATGATGATGATGATGATGATGATGATGATGATGATGATGATGATGATCATGTTGCTGATGCTGATGATGATGTTAACGGTGCTGATGCTGCTGATGATGATGACGATGATGATGACGATGATGATGATGATGGTGATGATGATGGTGATGATGATGATGATCATGATGATGATGATGATGATGATGATGATGATGATGATGGTGATGATGATGATGATGATGCTGATGATGATGATGATGATGATGATGATGATGATGATGATGATGATGATGATGATGCTGATGATCATGCTGATCACGAGGATCATGATGATCATGATGGTGCTGGTGGTGTTGGTTGTGACGATGGTGATGATGATGATGCTGATGATGAGGAGGATTAGCCTGCCCGCTGGGGGACGGGCTGGCAGGCAGAGGGTGGACGATGGTGGAGGCAACGGCGCTGCTGGGGGTGACACCAGGGTGTGGCAGCAGTTGACGGAGAAAGCGCTGACGGGGGGTCATCCGCCGCATCCCTCGGGGCGGGGGATCTGGGCGTGGTAGGCGTCGCTGCCCAGCCAATTCGGGGACAACCACCGCAGCAACGTGGGAATGGTCGGCGGGGCGTGGGCGCGACACCTGTTGAGAGAGCCGCGCCCCAGCATTGGATGGTCAGTGCATCGGGTGTGGCGTGGAGGTGGGTGTCTGGATCCCCCCCTCCCTCCCCAATTTCTCTCGTCCGCCCTCCTCCCTCCTCCTCCCCTC